GTTGCAAAAACCATGACAAAAGCTTTACAAGAAAGTTGCTGATTTGAAAATGTATTGTCTCCCTCTTCCCTCTCTCCCTTCTCTTCCCCCCTCTCTCCCTGTCCAACAACATACCCAGTTATTAATGGTTGGATTAACTTTCATTATACTAGCTGTGGCAGTTTTTACAGCTGACAATGCAATCTCTTTTGTGAACACAATATAATTTCATGGGTCAGCTTGAAATCTTTGTGGAAAATAACACAAATTTGTATCATGAAGCTGGACCATGGCTGCCCTCCTTGGAGAAAAGAGTTGGCACATTGTCTAACATATACCTGGACATATACTACAGCTTCTTCACAAAAAAGCTCCAAATTTAATACTTCAATGGGGTTTAAACTTATGGGGATAAAATGAATTTTGGTGTCATCCCAAAATGAAAATGCGTTAGCTTCTTTAGATCGAACCAAAGTGGGAGTATTGTCTACCACCCTGATGATTGCAATTGTTTGATTGTAATATTTACACTGTCGTTAAAATGTTCTTTCAGCATCCTGAACTATAATTATTCAGGTGATGGCTTTTGTAAAGTATTAAGTGGCTTCATATTTAGCCTATTATGTGGAAATCTGCAATATTCAATTTCCTGGTTTCTTTCCAATGCTGCAGTCTGTCAGCCATTGATTTATGCCCACTGTTGATGCTCAGTTCTTATTAGAAGAGTTTCTTTCCTCTTTTTGAGATTTTATTTTTAAAATTACTATATTTTTCGGCCTATAAGATGCTCCGAAGTATAAGACGCACCTAGCTTTTGGGTAGGAAAACAAGAAAAAAAATCTGCCTCTTCCTCCCAGCAATTTGCCTCCTTGCAGCAAACAGCAAATAGCCTGGTCAGCTTCAGCACAGCCTCATTTAGCACGAACAGCTGATTAGCGGTTGGATCGGCCTCCCTTAATACCGCCTATCAGCTGTTCCAGGCTGCTGGAATCGCTGCCACTCATCAATGCCATCGCTCATCGACACTGCCACCTATTGCGACCTACGCTAGCCCCATTTTCGGCCTCTGCGCGCCTCATTTTTGGCCTGTCCCTGGCGGCAGGGCCGAGGTGGCGCAGTGGTTAAATGCAGCACTGCAGGCTACTTCAGCTGACTGCAGTTCTGCAGTTCGGATGTTCAAATCTCACCGGCTCAGGGT